AGCTTCAGTTTTCTTCCTGATGTCGGAACTGTACATGAGATGATCTGTTACTGAATTTGCCTTTGCCAAAGGTGTGCTTATGGGATGTTACTATATAAGAACAATTAGAGTAGTTTATTATTTTAATACTTTGTTGGAATTACAGTTAATCCAATTCTCTTCATTTATTTTCTGCATTTTAACTATAGTGTATGGCTAAAGTGTGTTTTGCTTCAAGCCTGATAGTTTGACCGATTGAATTGCATCTGGAACGCAATGCCAGGTGCTTGCCTTTAATTTAAGAAAATGTTAGGTGACAAGTTTTGAGGAGTGTTTGGCCTGGTCTATAACGGTTGCCTTCAATAGTTTCCTTATTGCCTGGATTGAATCAAGTTGGCTGGAGGCTGACACCTCTGATACTGGAGACCCTCAAGAGACACAAATGTGAATTTTGGCACTTCTGGCTGAAGATTAATACCAGTCCCTTGTCTTTTACACTGCTGTATTAGTCTCCCACTATCACTGGGGATGGAATATTGTGGAGTCTCTTCCAGCAAATAGTTTAATTATCCACTGCTATTCATGACAGGATGAGGCACGTCTGCAGAGGTTAGATCTGATCCATTGCAGTGGGATTACTTAACCTTTGTCTATTGTATGCTACATCCACTGTAGAATAGAAGTAATCCTGTGTTGACATCCAATTTTTAGGTATTCCTGGGCTGATACTGGCGTGCTTAAGGATGTCTCTAAACATTTCAAGCATATTATTAAGGGTGAGATTGAGAAGCCAGAAATTATTGTACACAATGGTAAGAATGGCATTTTTAGGGAAAAAGTTAAAGCAGTATAGAGTGAATTTAAGTTGAACCAAAGTTGATCCCCTGGCTTGGCTGCAGTGATGGTGAGGGTTATGCTGGACCATGAGATTGTGGTTGAATACAATTCTGATAGCCAGCAGTGTCTTGTGAATGCTTAGTTTTGAGTTAGATTTGTTTGAAAGGTGTCTGACTCAGCACTGTGGTTTACTCCTCCATTGACACAAGGGAGGGTGATGCCACTCTGAATATGGGCCTTTATTTCCATGAGGACTGCGTAGTAGTCATTCATACTGTCATGGATATATGCATCTGCTATATTTAGATTGGTGAGGACAAAGACAAATACATGTTCCCTTTTGCTGGTTCCCTCACCAACTGCTGCAGACCCAGTCTAACAGCTTTGTCCTCTAGGAATCAACCAGCTCAGTCTGTAATGGTGCTGCTAGGACATTCTTTATAATGGACTTAGAAGTACTGAGGGTGCAAGGAACTTCAAAGTGGTGATCAAAAGGAGAAGAACTGATTCATCAGCCAGTGGTGGGGGTGATGCCACCAAGAATCAGTGGGTTTCCTTGCCCACATTTGATCTGATGCCGTGAGACCTCCATGGGGTCTGAAGTCAATGATCAGGACTCCCAGACAAATCCCTCCCAATAGTATACAACTGTTTTGTCAACTCTGGTGGAATGGTCATGTTGTCCGTGTGATAGTCTTATGCTTGGAATTATACCTTAGTGTCAGACTGTGGCTTGACTAGTCTGTGGGACATTTCTTCAATTTCAACTCAAGGCCCCAAGTGTTGTTAAGAAGGACTTTGCAGAGTCCACAGGACTCCTGAGTATTTCTCATTTCCAGTGCCTTGGTTGATGCCAGTTGGTCCTTCTGGTTTCATGTCTTAGATAAGACTTTGTAGTGGTTAGATGCAACTTGAGTGGCTTGCTAGGCTGTTTAAGGACATTGAAGAATAAACTGTTGCTGTGAATTTGGAATCACGCGTAGGCCAGACCAGATGAGGATGTCAGAATTTCTTTCTCTAAAGGACATTAATGAACTGCATGTGTTTCTGCAGCAATCAACAAAAATGTTTTCATGGTCACTATTAGACTAGCTACAGTCGTTTAATTCCAGATTTATTAATTGAATTCAAAATGCACCATCAGCTTTTGTTTAATTTGAAGTTATATCCCCAGAACATGGTCCTGGGTCTCTGGATTGCTAGTCCAGTACCAAATGCCATCTCCCCACTTGGTGTAAAGGCCTGTTGTAATGCTACAACATTATTCTGACTTCAGGTTAATTAATTAAGCCTAAAACACAAATTGCTGGAAAAGCTCATGGGGTCTGGCAGCATCTGTGGAGAGAAGGCTGAGTTGACATTTTGGGTCCAGTGATCCTTCTGTTCTGAAATGTTAACCGTAGAATCATAGAATCCCTATGGTTTGGAAACAGGCCATTTGGCCCACCGAGTCCACACTGGCCCTCTAAAGAGCAGCCCACCCCCCGCACAGTGTAACCCTGTAACCCCAGATTTGCCATAGCTAATCCATCTAGCTTGCACATCTCTAGACACTATGGACAATTTAGCATGGCCAGTCCACCTAACCTGCACATCTTTGGACTGTGGGAGGAAGCCCACACAGACACAGACACAGACACAGACACAGACACAGACACAGACACA